GTCCACTTACCACACTTTCCTAAATAGTTACATATGGATTTTAGAGACAAGCTTTACCAGACAAAGCTTTATAATGGAACATATCTGCTAGATACATGCTAAGCTAATAACCTCATCACCCGACTATATTAAAGTGGAACGCCATCCAAAAATCTTATTTCAGTTTTTAGAATGGGGAAAAACTTAGATTCTCTGCCATGATTTTTTTGCCCTCTGTTTCCCCAACGGAAGAATTTCTATTTACTTGCAATGCTTTCAGACACTGTATCCTTTCCATACTACTAGGCTGCTAGAGGAAACCATGTCCAAAATGTGTTGTAGTAATGTTTTGTCAGTCCTTCAATATAGCTACTTTCACACGTGGATCAGGGATGCTGGATTTAAATCACAATTTAGTAGACTACATCTGTGCACTTGGCTCTGGTAGGGATAAGACTGGAGGAGATGCTGGTAGTTTCATCAGGCTAACTCCAAGTACTGAAACACTGAAATATAATAATGTACCAATTAAAATGTTACAAGATGGCAATGATAATGTTTTCATGGGCAAAACTTAATTATGATATAAAGATCCCTAAAACCGGACGCACATTTTTGCTTAGCGTGTTTGTGCACGCGCCTCACGCGCATATGTAAAGTTGTGCGTTTTAACTGGCAGATTGAGACATTGGTATTCATGGGCAAATGCACACAAAAACTTGCATAATTTCTTGTGTCGCGCATTTTCAGGCATTTCCTATTAAGTCTATGATGAAAAGGCGCTGTAAACGGCCAAAAGAAACTCATGTACTTTTTCGAGCGTCAGGCGTTTTACAACTTTAGGCAAAATGCTGCAACTTGTAAAACTGGCATGCTCAGGTGTGAACAGGGGCCATAGGAGGCCAATGAAGGGGATTTCTCCTTTTGTGTGACAAGACACCTAGGTGTAAATGGGGACTTAGGAGAAACGGTTTGTTGCTGCCGTGATGCTTTGTGTAAGGAGTAGAGCACTCATTGAACGAAGACATAATGGTAGACAAAGCCCACCAACATAGTGAAGAGTTTGTTTATTCAAATATAAGCAGCTGTGCACTCACAACGGTGAAAGTGATGACTGGTACATAGCAATAGGATCTGCCCTTCCACAGTATGCAGCTCATGGCAATCAGCATGCAGTCTGTGCGGGGTGATGGAAACAGAATGCCGTTATCTGGTAACTGCCTCCTTCTCTGTACATCCCCCCCCCCAGTTCCTCGTTATCTGCTTTGCCTAATGCTGCACAACACTGACGTGATGTGGTTAATTCACCCTGCATGGACCACATACCAATGGCCAAGAGCTGCACACCGTGAAAGCCAATATAGTCATCACTGTTTTCTGAGTGTACTACTGATTTTATTTATTGATTAAATGGACGTTCTAACCTTTGCTGGTGAGCTTTGTCCACCTTTCTGGATTTACTTCACACATTGCTTTTGGGCATTAACAAAGTCTTCCACTCACTTGGTTGGCGATTCGACAGCAAGTGTTGCTTTTGCTACATTTCTTCTGTTCTGGTGACAATATTCACCAGGAAAAAGAGAAAAGGAAAGTCCCCCACTGTGGGGAGAGAGGAGTCAGAAATGAAAATATGACAGGTTCTACTTGTTCCCCCACTTCATTCAAATACGTTTTGACTGGAGTTCCACTTTAGGTATATCTAAGCATAAAAATGTTATTAATTGCATCTTACCAGATCTTAGATGTGGTTGATGTACTACTTTACTTATTCAGTCTTGTTACCCTCTATTTTCACCTGAGGATCCTTCTAATAACACACTTCCTGTCCAAGGATGACAATGCTCACTCTCTATACCATACTGATATAGGATCAGTGTTGTCACCCTAATTTGCTCACCTGATCTGGACTACAAACACCTCCCGCCCTCCCTAATTTTATTACATGGGGGAAGTTGTCTTTTAGTTTACAGAAGATAGCTGGAAAGGCAGATATCACAGTTTGAAATTTCAGCTCGTTGCCCAGGATGTTACAACGACAATGGATTTCTGTTGAGATCACCAAGTATTTTTTATGTACTTGCAAATGTACTTCGCTTGAAAAAAGGAAATGAATGCAGCAACCACATCTAAGAACTGGCATGCTGACATATTAATCTTAGGTTTAGATATACTGCTAACCTCTCCTCAAAATGATAATTGACTGGCTGTCATGCTAACCTTCTTGTTTCAATACTTTGTGCCATTGATCCAGATATACATACACACACACACACACACACACACGTAAGGGCTTCTGACCTTCCTTATAAGCTTACTTTTGGATCAGAAACTCATACCACTGAAACTCAACGCTAACCACAACAGCCGGGGAACTAGGATTTTCAGAAGGAGAGCAGCAATGGCTTACTATGAGTTTCTCTCATAATAGTTTAACGTTAAATGTTGGAATCTTCCAAACGTTAACACTCCCGCCGTATTTTTTGTTTAATTTTTGTTCCTGTCCATTATATTCAGAAATAACTTACAAACGTGCATTAAAATCAACAAAATAGGAGGTGGCCAAACCTTTACATATTTATTGAATATAAAATTGGGTTACACTTGAACAGCTGGAAAACACATTGGGGCACTTTAGGGGCGAATATACAGATTACATTTTCTAAGACTTAGAGGCATATTTATAAAGTATTGTATGTTACTTTTTACAAAGTATTCACTGGTGGAGAATCAATCACTGTCAATTAAAAGACATTATAAATATTGCCCATAGTAACATAAAACTGAGGATAGCAAATTCTAAACCTCATTTTCTGAACAACCCATGGTAATGCAAAATAATGAGAACCAATCACTAATAGGCGTTTGTAATAATATACATTTTCGTGAGGCTTGGGGAACATCAGACTTTTCTTGACCCTGTTGTCCCTTTCCAACAAGGACAAAGAGAGCTATAAAAATAGGATTTTTGTCTTGCCTTCTTTTAGGAGTGGATCACAGGGCACAGGATTCTTGTATTCTGGAACTTTGGGTGATGCTGCCACTTTCAGGAGATTGGACAGCCTAGCAAAGTCCCTGTCCCAGCATGCACCCATTTTGTTAGCATGCAATTATAGGAGTGTCCTGTGATGAGCACTGAGAAAAGGATTTTTCAGGTAAGACAAAACACTGTTTTCTTAATTGTACATCACAGGACACCAAATTCTGGAACCTTGGGAGGTCTAAAAGCAGTCCAACAGGGAAAGAGGGAAAGGGTGCAACACAGCAAACAAATGGCCAACAGGCCTCAGGAAAAAGCACTGTGTAAGTGAGCTCAAAGTTTACAGGGTAGCCTGAACAACCCTTAGGACAGAAGCTGGCAATTACTGAGGACAGCACACCAACCTGGGAAAACTTAACAAATGTGAGAACAGAAGACTAGGTGGTCGCCTTACAAATCTGAAAAACAGCCCAACAATGAAAAGCCCAAAAAGCAATAACTGATCTAGTAGAGTGCACCTTGAACATAAAACTTTTCCTTAAAGTGTATTCCCACTTTTGCAGCCAAATTGGGAGAACACCTACTTGACATTTGTTATATGTTTTTTTTTCTCACTGTAGAACTTTAAAAAGGTATAAGAAATGCTGTTTTTATTTTTAGGAGCTTTTTACTTGCCTAAAAATCCTACCTAGCATCCATCCTATGCAATCTTAAAGAGGACGCTGTGGGAAGTTATGTTAACTCTATTTTAATTTTAATGCACACAAGCACAATACCTGATTTTTCTGATATAAAAAAAAGAAGAAAAAAAAGGATGAGGTTGAGCCAAGTAAATAGACATCAAATATGTCAATACACGCTGGCACATGCAGGGGGTGTAGAAGAGATGCGGTGGCTTTAAAGTTGCCTGAATCACTAGTACATGTAAGGCCAACAGTTGGGTGAACACACTCCCACTTTTCATAGCAGCCAGAATCCCACTTTTCATAGCAGCTCCCTGCTTTCAGAGATTTAGTTCAGCAAAAGGGTTATGTCCCTTAGTTTATCCCTCTAATTTTACGTCATACGTCTCGGAGTAGCCTGAAATATGCACAAAGGCCTTCACCATAGAAACATGTAAAAGTCAAGCTACTTTTTTTGCCCTGTGAATAGGAACCCAAACATTTTCTCAAATTTGACTGCAAAAGTGGAAATACGTTTTAAGGTCATACGCCTAAAAGGGGCCAGGGAAGAGTCTGAGGGGGGAAACAGAAACAAAGTGACATCGCTGGTTTTTAACCCTTAAAATACTGGAGTAACTGCACCTCTTGGTGCTGGTGCTGACTTATACAGTGTCCTGGGGAACACCCAGCCAGCTTTGCAGGTGTAAGAGGCAAACCACATTTAGCAATCTTGGGACCTCCTGTGGGCATACTCCCTGAGAGGTCCTCCGGGGTACAGGGAGTACTACAGCTCTGTAACTCTACAGAAAACTGCCCAATCTCTCTAAGGTGGCAGCATAACCCAGGGTTCCAGAATACAAGAATCCTATGTCCTGTGATGTATGATTAAGAAATGTTTTTTCCTAGCCTGGGAAGGGTTAGAAACTCGGCCAGAAATGTAATGCTGTCTGTGGTTCCCCACATTTCCTGTCCTAATGAAACCCAGTTACACAGGGGGTCATTGGGACAGGAAGTGATGACAAATATTGCAAGTGGGCACACTCTACAAAAATTTAGTTTTATGCCTGTTCATTTCTCTGTTGGAGAGAGTTTCCCTTCAAGTCTCTTGAGCATAATGACATCAAGGGGAAATTTTTACATTGCAGTAGTAAAATTGGAGAGAGGTTCTGACCCTTCCGAGCTCAGTTTTGGATGGAGATGAGCTTTAAAAACAAGCGTCCAGAAAGGAGATAGATCTCCATAGCTATAACATTGTCATGAAAACAGACATGTAGTAGACTACTATAGGTTACAATACAATTAACTTGTTTTGCACTCACTTTCAACCAGATGGCTCCCTGGAACTAATGAGGGGTTATATATAAAACTTTAGCTATACTTACTGCCCTGTGAGGCTCCCTCAACCGACGCAGCTTCATTATCTGAAAAGAACAAAATGGGACTTAATATTAATATTTTACACAGGAGGCTCTCAAGCAAGCAGCATTCTTAATCATAATTTACATTTATATTAACAAATAACATTTTCAGGTATATATGTAAAAATGTTGAAGTTCCTCAACAACAGAAAACTGTTCTGATCTAGTGTAAGGGCAAGGTAACATATACTGATAGGAGAGAGGAACACATACACTTTATGGGTTAAGGCATGTCCTGACAGACAACTATGGTTAATTACATTTAAAATGTTTGGAAAGAGTGGTGAAGGGTTAAAACCCATCAAGCTTTTGTTTCCATCCGCTGCAGAGACAGATCATGTCACCAGGACAGAAAGTAGGAGGGACAACGGAGCCCGTGAAACAAGGCGGCCCGGGGCTTCTCGGTTACCGGATAGCAGAAGCTATCTGGCGACAGTTGATCCCCCAGAATCGCTTCTACTGTAAAGCCGGTCACTGGCTCGACAAAACAGAACTGACTCCCAGCGGCTAAAAAAGCTGCCTGGAGTCTGTGTAACCCCTTCAGAGTTCATGACGGGATTATCCTGTCATAGGTCGTGAAGGGGTTAAAAAAGGATCCAAAACAATGTGTGTATAGCACACTGCTATAGTGAAACCAAGTGGCATTAAACCTGCACCTGTTCTTGTGTAGGAAAGTGGCCTTTGGTGATGCAAAATCATAAGAAAAACATTGGCAGATTTAGTATTTTTTCTAACACCAATTTACAGTTCTACACTTACAGTAGATTAACTTTGTAGATTTCCTTGCCCACCTCAAAGTTATATGGTTGGTTAACTTTTAACACTCTAGTAAACACCAATTTACAAGCCTAATAACAATTTAAGAAAACTTGTTAAATCTTTCAGATGACCCACTCCCTCTTGCATCAGTTTAGGAAATGATGTCCATTGTAACAAAATGAAACTAAACAGTTTCAGGTCACAAAAATATCAAACTAAACAGTAACAAACTAAATATCTACTAAACAGTCCCAGCTACTAATTAAATGGACATCCAAGGTAAACGATACAGATTTTGGAAGGAGACACTGCGTCTGAAGACACACAGCCAAAGGCTGCTCACACCCTCAGCTTTGGGCTGCATTGCCCAGTGCACTGCCAACACTACAACAAGGCAAACAGCCTTTTGTCCTATGGCTTCAGTTCACAATAACATGCTCCAATGGCATGTGCTAAGAATGAAGGTATATATAATATTTCTACATTCTGACACATTGCAATATACTGCAGCACAGGGTAAAAGCATTTAGTTAAAAAAAGAAAAAGGGGTCATAAAAACCACACTGCAATGTGGACTATGGTCTGAACAAGCCCCAACAGATCTTCCACTTTACCGCCCATGTTATGTTGTCTGGACAGCATTTGTATACAGCCCTTTTTGAAAACCATACTCCACTTACTCTGGTCACAAACAGGGCAATCTTCAAACTATTTCAACTGAACAAACATGGGAACAGATTGGGGTCACCTGTCCTCAACACTTTAGATAAATATGCTAATTGAAGAAATGTGCATATAGCCCCAATATCCATATAGGATTATTGATACCACACCCCTGAACCATAAATAATCGAAGTAGAAACAAATTTGGGGCGCCAAATTCATTTGCACTTCGATTATAGCACTTTAGATAATTTTGTGCTGTTGATAGAATATGTTGGCAGTAGCTTACATCCTCCCATTTTATTGTAATCAAAATATGTTTAAAATTTGCTATGTGGGACCAGTATAAGGCAAAACCCTTCTTTCTCAATGAACACCAATGGCCTATGCATCAATTGCTTCAATCGAGCTCAAGAGATTTTGAATGCTTTATTTATTGCCAACATTCTTTCCTATAAAAGGGCCCTCCACTACCAGTTCCTAAAATATTGAGCATAAGAAATAAGGATTCCATCACATGGGCATCTCAATTATATTGGGTACATCTTACACCTTCTGTTAAAGAGTCTATAAAAAGTCACAAGTCTTGCAACCCTGAGTGACCTATTCCCCAAAAACAGGCACACTCATTGATGGCAACACTCTCGGAAAAAGCACTTGCTGACCGAACCACCCACTTTCGATTACTCAACATACATTCTTCTGAAATGCCAAAGTCATATTTACCTTTATTTTTCATACTTATCGTCTTTGGGTCATTAAGACACAACACTTGAACCATTCAGATGCCGTGCTCTTAGGGAATTTAGTCAGGTGCACCGCTCAACCCTGTTCTTCATTATCCCACCACTTATCTATCAACACCTTCTGCAGATGCTGACACCTGATAATGTTGCAGTGCACTGCATGCTTCAAACCTGGTAAACTATGTGCTAACAAATCAGCTAGATACAAATCCTGCTCCTCCAAGATCTTTACTGAGAGGTCTGCTCAGTGCTGCATGGCTTTAATTTCAAAGCCATTTCTTCTCTGCAGAGATACCTGCACATACATGCTGTGGTGCTCTTTCACTACTGTTGACCTAGCCATTCACTACTGTTGGCTTAGCTTTCCACTAAAGTCAAAGAGACCACAACACACATGCTTAGATAGTACTATGCAAAATTCAGAAGGTTTCAGTACATAGAGGAGATCTTAAAAGAGGATGGACTACATTGAAAATGCTGAGAGAGGGAAGGAGTGCAGAAAAGGATACATGCACTTATCCTTTAAAGTGCATTCAAACCCAAATGCTTAGGCCCTATTCATACTAAGGCTGTGTGTCAGTACACACATGTTAATGTTTATTGCATTAGGGCAGTCCATTAATGTTAATGGATTCCTAATCCACCTAAAAAGGGGAGGAGGTACCATTACTGGCAGTGCTTTGCAAACACATCTGTAAAGTAGTACCATGCAGAATGAATGGCACAGCATTGCACCAACAATGCTTGATCATCCTATATCTCTATAGATCTATATATATATATAGATAACACAAGCGATCAAGCGTCTATATAGACGCTCGATCGCTTGACTGTAAAGCTCCCGGCCGGCCGTGTAATTACAGCGGCCGGCCTGGAAGCTGCTCGTCGGGCTCCACTGTCTGCTCGTCACAGATGAGCAGACGAGTGGATTTTCGAGCCCTGTCTATATATATAGCATGATGTTATGTGCAGCTTAAAGTAGAACTAAACTCTGAAAAAGAATACTTTGCTTTGTAGATCACTGCAAGTAAAACCAGATCACAACATGTTTTTGTTATAAAATTGTTTCCCTTGACTTGAAGCTTTCTGTCCCTGTGCTGTGCATGTCCTGCAGACTCCTTGAATTAACTTTCTGTTGAAATAGAAGCTTTAGCACCGTCCAAGGGTTGAAGTTCTGTTGTGATGACTACTGTGGAACATGTTAGTGCACTAAGCGTTGGAATATCTTTAGCAGTCCAACTTCAGAGCATGCAGGAAAGATATATATATCTATAGATAGATAGATAGATAGATAGATAGATAGATAGATAGATAGAGAGAGAGAGAGAGAGAGAGAGAGAGAGAGAGATACATTATATAGCTCTCTCTCTCTATAGATATGTATATCTATATCTCTATAGATCTATATATATAATCTAGTATCAGTAGCTGTTTTACATACAGGTAACAGTTAATTTAAAGTTATTTGCTCCTTGATTTGAAGAGAGGCAATTTTTTCCGCCAAAATTTGAGCAAATAAGAAGCTGTTCTCTTTGCTTGCTACAGACAGCAGTGGATTTGCTGCTCGTTGCCTAAAATTTTTCTACATCATCAAAATGATGTTTTCTAGTGGTCCAAATGCAGGGAGGTGTACAAAGTCTGCAAAAACTGCATGAAAAATGTGTATCACTTCACAAATCTTTTGCCAGAGACAATTTTCTATAATCGTTAAACAGCACGTTAAGAGGTTTGGCAAAAGCTGCCCTTTAACTATGCCAGGGATGGTCAAAACTTGTTCGTCTGTGATATATGGTATGCGACTGGGAGAGATCTTAAAGAACTCTGGGACAATGGCATTTTCTTTTGCATCTAAAAGCGCAAATCTTTAACATATATATTAGGCGAGTTTGAAGATAATCTTTTTGATGTAGTGAGGTCCATTAATAATCTAAGAGATTCCAATAAATTGTCTGCCTTATCCTGATGAATCCTCAGCCAGTATCAGCGCTTCTAATTACAATATCTCTCAACCCATTAGTTTTTCTCGGCCTTTTATCTCGTTATTGGGAGATAGGATTTAATTACACATTTTAATCACTGTATACTGCGCTCCACATAAAAAAAAAAAAAATGCTACCTACAGTTTTCTTCACTGCTCAGGATTATAAACCAGAATTTATTGTTTCATTTATTACTTGAAACAAGGTATCCATCAGAAGCATTTCAAGAGTCACTCCAGCTAGCTGCCTTTATTTTAGCGCCCTCTACATTTTTGCTGCAAACAGGCAATATAAATTGTACTTTTGCAACATTTATTAAGGTGTAACTTTAAGAATAATCCTGTTTGTTTTAGGGTAGGTAGCTAACTAAGGCTGTGTTCACATCATAAATGCTTGCTTTCATGTACGCTGATGCTCTTACCATGCCATCATGCTTTGCATTGAGGGTGTCAAGGATGAGCTGCCTGCTTCCTCTTTCAGCATATAGAAAAACCAGCACTCTCATAATGGACCTTAGCATATTATTGAGGTCATAATACAAAAACAACAAACATAGTAAAACATTTAGGGGCCACGATGGACACCATTGTCACATTGAGAAAGAAGTCCATCAAAGTCCCCTGTTATTGGGCGGGGGGGGGGATTGTTCATATGCAGAACACAGAGTTTTCACGGCTGATTGCACAGATACTGTTAGATGGCACAGGAAAAGGATTGCCAAAGGTCACTTGATGCACTGGGCAGTCAGGCTGTGCTCACTCTATAAATCTCAAGCTTTCCTCTTTAGTTTTGACTGAAGTGGAGTGACTCAGGTAACCTGAGTCATTTTGATGACTGTCTCCATTTAATAAAACACACAAAGAAAGGGAAAAAAAAGTAATGACAAAATAATTACCTATGTGTGCACGGACGTGAGTCTGGAAACAGTTATAATATTTGTATTTCTTTCGACAGATTCCACATTCATAAGACCCTGAAAATGAAAAACATGTAAGCAGACTGAAATTATTAAAAGGTTAGACAAAGGCAACCTAGAGGGTATATAGTATTAAAAGAAACTTGGAATATGAGAAACATGGAGGCTGCCATTGCTGGCCACTTCTCAAAATGCGAGTTGCCTGGATGAAAATATTTTTCCCATTCTGGCTGTGCTGTAAGCTAATGGAAAGAAAAAAAATAAAATAACAGCCAATGAGGAAAGAAGGGATAACTGGGATCATCGTCCTAACCCAATTAAACCTATTATTTGTAATCACTAATTACAAAAAAAACAGCAAGTAATTGGTGGTTGTTTTGGACAATGTACTTCCTCCTCTTTTAGACACTGATGTACAAGACCTACTATAACAAATTCAGGTCACACATAGGGTACTCATCTGCCCACCTGGAGACGATGTGCTAATTCGCGGGGAGATGTTGCGCGGCCGAGCACCACCACTCCAAGAGGCCTCTCTGTTCATGGCTGCTGGCGGTCTGTCTGGAGAGGTTTCCCCTAGTAGAGTAAACACAGCGTCATGTGAGCACAAGAAAACTTACAAAATTTTCAAAAGTTGGTAGCCAATTTTTTAAAGCTATTCCATCTTTAAAGTAACCAACAAGGAGAAAGCATAACGGAAAACCAAAATGCAACCACAAAAAGAAAAATACCATATTCTCTACAATCCTTCCTTCGCTTCCAATTAGTAGGAAGGACTACTTATTCCAGGAACTGCTGTCAACTTTTGCTGCAGCAGTTCCTGAATTGAAGAGGCATGACGTTGTGTAACGGCTCGCCAAAATAGGTTAGGTGGGAGTTTACCGTACATTCACCAGTCACTGCTGTGAATGGCTTAGATCTTTCCTGCAGGCTGAAGGACAAGGGAGGACAGAAAGATGAGGAAGGACAGAAGAGAATTTGGCGCTAGTGGAATTCTTCAGGTTAGTACCTGAGCACTGCCCGTCAACCATTCTCATACCCAACAGTTTAAATAGATGGCTACACCATTTCAAATGATAAAACACATCCCTTTTATTTGAACTTGCTAGAGCCAGTACGTGTAACTTTTTTGCCACACAATTGATTATTCAAAGAAATTATAAATAATATTCAAATATAAACTATGGAAAAGAAACACTGACATACTTTATATCCTGAAAAAATATAAAGTATTGTCAATAAACACATTATTTGAGTTAATGTAATCTTTTGTTTGTAACTTGGCATCTTTACATGAATGCTGTGCCATATTTTTATTCATTTATGATATATGCATATTTGGAGACTCTCCTAGTGACTATTTTATTTCACTGCACTCAGCCTCCCTGATCAGCATTTGCCAGGCTGAAATCTTAGCCACAAGAGTCCTGATTGGTGGACTTCCTTTGTAATATGTAATGAGCAAATGTGGCTGCCCCCATGTACATATATACAAACCATACATAAAAACAAGTTTTTTAAAAAAAATTTTAATATTAATACATACAGCTGGTCACATTTAAATGTTCAGAAAACAAAAATTAAAACACCATAGTTACCCTGTAACATGCAGACAAGAGTAACAAAACAGAAACCAGTGTTAACCTCCATGGCGGTATGATTATGTCAGGAATTTTGTACCAAAATCGGTACAATTTTTTGCATGGAAATTTGTTGTTTATATTGTAGGCCTGTAATTCTTAGTAAATCTTAGGAATAACTCACCTAAATCTGTCCAAACAAGAGTCCAGTAGACATCCCAGGTATGATAAAGTTTGAAACACGAAATTAAGTGCAGCCCCGAGTCTGGCTCGGGGTTACCGCTCCTAGCATTGAAAATTCACCCCGAGCCAGACTCGGGATTACCGCCAGGGAGGTTAAAAGATGGGCTAACGCACAAAATTCAGGCAATTAAAATTTGGCAATTCTGTTAATTACTACCAGAATATACCAAGCTGAGAAAATGCTTGTGTTAGTTTTATAAAGAGGTAAGCAATAATGGAAAATCACACAGATAAAAAATCTTAAATTGCAGTCAACTTTTTTCTGGGTCTCAATTGTCCCAGTTCAGGTGCAGGAAGTTGGGTATCTCAACTTACCAACATTCTGCTGAGTCCGATTCTCACCGATTACCACACAGATCTCGGCTGGCACCTCCACAGGGCCATCATCCATTTTGTTTTTGGAAGGTTTCTTGGTTTTCTCCTCCCATGCTACAGTCCGGGCCTCCTCCTCGCATTTTTCCTTTTTTACTGTCACATCGTTTGTAGTCATTTTCCACAGTCTTTGGCGCAAGTCACGATCTGAGAGCTTTTGCCAGTCCTCCCACCACGCTCTCCTTAGGAAGCAAAATAGCGGCACGGGATTAAAATTGCCAATGACATAAAAAAGAAATGAAAATGGTCTTACAGTTTATTTTTTTAGTGTTTCAAGATAACACTTGAGATAGATCAGCAATCCTCTAAAAACCATGTATCTTAATATATATGTACACAGGGGCAGGCATATTTGCTCATCACATAAGGATCTGTTTCTTGCTGTACATTTGAGACTTTTGTCACTAAGTTTTGTTTTATTTACTGCAGCTGAAAACCCATAAAACCTCCCAGGGTCACTAAGAGTGTACCTCCTCAAGCCTGTGCTTGGTACCTTCCTGTTTGCTTCCTATGTAACCAATTATATTTACACTTCAAAGGCAAATATGAATCTGATTGGTTGATGTGAGAAAAGTCTTGTATGGACTTCTAGATACAGACAAGTCTGTAATGTGTGTTTGGGAATAGCTCTTCTGTATTACACAGAGGGGTTCCTCAGATCACCAAATGAGTGACCAAAGTGAGAGAGCTGGGCAGGGGAACTACAGCATCACCTAAATAAAAGACTGAAGCACAGAACAACAGGCTGTGCTTCCTGTTTGAATCAAAAGCTTTAATTTTCCATTATGATTTTAAACTGCTTATATACACAATAGTAAGCAGGTGATGTCACTATCCTAGGGCTCCATTATAACTAACAGAGCAAAAGGCTTGATTGAGTGGTGCCCTTAGTAAGGGGCAATGGGAGCACACGCATAGTCCTCTTAAACTGACTTATTTTTGACAGAAACCAGAAAGAAAAAACTTGTGTTTGGTTCAATCCCTTAATTCACTGAGAAGTGTATGTTGCTAGTATCTTCAGGTACCTTACAACCCAAAAACAATAGTAATCACTGAATACCATATTCACCCTATGTGGCTGAGATTTTCTCTCAGCAGTCCTTAAAGTGACATTAAACCCTCAGATTTTTTTAACATAAAACAATACTGTAATGTGTGCCTTACTGTAATCCATGGTTGTTTCCCTTCTCTTTGCTGCTCTTCCTTTTAAATCCTCATGTCTTCTCATGCTTGGGGATAACTTCCCCTTTCAGCTCAGGGCCTCTTCCTGTAGTGCTGGCTCAGGTTTCAAGCCCATACAAATCTATACACAGACACCATGTATCCATTTCTGAGACAAGGCAGTCTGCTGCAAAACAGAAGTTCTGCCCAGCATGAGAACAGATACAAATGTAAAAGGAAGAGCAGCAAAGAGAAGGCAAACTACCATGTATTACAGTAAGGCACACATTACAGTATTGTTTTATGTTAAAAAATCTGAGGGTTTAATGTCACTTTAAAGTGGCTGAATGAATATCATGAAATACAGGCTAGTTTGTAAAATGCAAACCTGTATATGTAAAACAAATATGGCACACCAATGACACAAATATGTGAAAGCTACATAGAAATTACCAACATTGGTCGAGCAGGATGTGTTTATATTTTAGGACTCCTCCCTTTACGTTTTGGGAGAGGCCTGGATTGTTGTACTTCTTGCTTGTCTAGCTTACATTTTTGGTATATTATATGGATCGTTAATATCTAGTGTTGCAATAATTGCCATATTATTCTGAACCTTTGCTATACTATTTGTGTTATGCTGTCTTTGTTTACATTTTGTTAAAACTAAAAAAATGTATGTAAAAAATTAGCAAAAAAAAAAACTTGAATAGGAATAGAAGTTCACTAAAATCACACAATAGATCCCTTTTAATTAGTCAGAAATTCCTAATAGAATTAAGACATCATCACGTGTGGAAAAAAAACCAAATGAATAAATAAAACAAAACAGAAAATACATGTGGAGAAATAAGCAGAACTAAAAATTCTCAAGTGTAAAAGGAGAGACCTGGAGATATCCAATCTTTATTTTTCTCTAAAAATAAAATCGCAAAATCGCTTACACAATAAATATATTGCAAAACATTAAAAAAAACCAGCATGATAAATTTCAATACATCTCATAAGGCTCCTATTTGCTTAAAGGCCCCATCTAGAACCCAATCACCATCCTTTACATAATGCAATATTCTGACACGGGTCACATTGCAGTCGATGGAAAATTTTCAAGAGCCAAAGGGAATTTTCCACGGATGTATATTTCTGTCGATTTCATTTTTTTTCTCATTTCTATAAATTACT